TATCACATTCCATTACATTAATTTTTTCTCTCTCTTCATCTCAACCATCCATTCATCAAATAAAATAATAATACACACAAATCAAAAACTTTTCAACCACACATCTCCCATCAATCACTATTCTAAAAATTATCTACCCCCCAAAAATTTAAATTAATGGGGGGCAAACAGGGGCTAAGTTGTCAATAAGTTGGGAACCCTAGTTATAATCTTTTAAAATTATATGTAATAATTCAATTATTCTAAAGAAGTGCTGCAGTGTCAAGGAGGATGTGACACCCTCCCTGACAGGATAGACATATTGGAAGGGGGTTGGGCCTTTTTTTTTTTTTTTTCATTTTTTATTGCACGTGGGTCCCACGTCGGTCCCACCCTCTTGTGAGGGTCGGTCACCCAGGTGGGTGCACCTCTTCTGGCACACCAGCAAAATTCATTATTCTAACTTACTCAGCCCATGTTTGGTTCGAATTGAAATCTAATTTTAATTCAAATCAAAATCAAACAATCAGTATTAACATCTTTTATGAGTTCCACTATTTTTCAACAACATATTTCAAAAATTTCTATGAAAATCTATTAAAAATCACATTTTAATCCTCACCAAACAATCTCTCATTTTGAACAACCCACGTCTATGATTTAAGAATCCAGTTGAAGCCACTTCATCCATTCAAATGGCACCAACCGTAATCATCTTGAAATCTATGACCTGGTATTGAATCGTTCAGGATTTTTCATCCAGACTCAACACGTGGCATGATCTTGTGCGTCTATTCTACCTATAAACAATCACCCACTCTGTTCACATTTTCATACACCCAAAATCAAACTTTCCTTGGTAGGGCGGCCCACCCGCCATCCCCTCCCCTACACCTATGCCCTCGTTTCTGTAGCTCAGATCTTGTCTGTGTAAAAAAAAAATTATGTATTGCGGCGGTCTCTAGTTCGCTTGGTGCAGGTCGGGAATCGAATTCCTCGTACTGAAATTATGCGTATGTTATAATGTTAATTCATTTACCTAAATGGTTTATAATTAATGTCGATTCTTTTAAGCGAGAATTAGGTTCCCGCCTTGCATCAACTGAATCGGAGACAGCGGTGAATTTTGTATCTCAACAGCTGGATTCAGACGAATTTTTTAATAGATTTGGATTTAGTTTTTATTTGTATGTGAT